AATGACATTGATGTCCTAAAATTTGTTCAATTATAGAGTTTACATATTTTATTTAAGACAGAAAAGCACAGGTATGTATAGACATAGGCACTAATTAAATCCTCTTCTGAGAAGTTTTTCATTCAGAAGTACAAAGTTATATAAAGAGCATGGAGGACCTGCCTCTGGTCCTTGTATGTCTGAATGTCACCTTAAGTCTATTTCCTTATTTTTAAAAATGAAGATAAGCTATGTTCTTGTCTATTTGAGACGTTTTCAGGCTGAAATTGGACTCTAGGTGAAAGTCCATTGAAAACTCGTAAAATGCCATAAAAATGAAGAGAATCACTAGGAAATATTTTAGAGCAGTTGATCTTCTTTAATAGCATGTCTCAAATATCCTAAATCTGTTGACTCATTAATCATCATCTGATAACCGTGTATCTATTCCTACGCATAAAAGCATTACTCTTTCATCCTCTGCCTGGGTCCTGACGATTTGAAATCCCAACAATAGTAATTCTATAACCAACTTGGAAAAACTCCTTAAAATAGTTACAATATCTAGCAAGGTGATTCTCAGATTTATGGATAGCTGAATTAGCTTTCACTAGGTTATGTGGTGCTAACAATTCTAAACACTGCCCACCCCCAAACACACATAAAACAGAGTTGAAAAAGTCTAAGGGTAGAGGAAAGCCTTTATACTCTTCTCTGAGCCATTTCCATCCCATTGAAAGGACTGGGTTCACCTGTGTGGCAGTTTTAACAGAAGGTGTGATGGCCACAACTTTTATGTCATTTTTGCCCTAAAGCTAAATCTGTGGGGGTGAGGCGTGAAGTCTATGTTGTGTGGTTTTACACTCTTTTAGTGATGCCTCCTTTTCTTCCTTAGGATGAAGTCGTTATTGATACTAAGGAAGCTTTGTGAAATTTGAAACTTACAAAATTTAGCCAATGAGCTTTTCTCAGTTATCATTCTGTTGTAACATTGGGAATAAGAGATTTACATAACAACCAAGAGTTTTGATAATATCTGATTTAGTCACTGAATTTATGGATGGTAACATCATGATCTTTGGTAAAAAGAAGAGAGTATTATACTGAAGATCAAACGCAGATTAATGTTCATTACTCATAATGAGCAATACACAGGTAGAAATGTTCTGAACATCATCATGTGATATGTTATAACTACAAAGAGTTTTCCAGTTTAGTATGGAATCATTGTGTCCACAGTCCCATAACACCTTACTTTTCTGGGTCTTTTTCTCTGGCTGCTTTTCAGCTTTCAATTGTATTCACTCTTTTCCTTGGAATTCTCATTTGTGGTGACATCATCACCTAAATTTTGCTAAAAATACTCCTTGGGATGTATTTCTGAAACTGATTTCTTTCACAATCACCTGCCCTTATTGCCAACACACTTACTAGGAAATTCCACTTGGATTTCCCATAATGTCAACTTAAAGTCAATATTTCATAACTTTCCTGACTTATCTCTTTCTCCTCCCCTTGGTTCATTGGCATCTATCCTTTTGGCTTCCCTATTTCTATAAATGGTTTTCTGCTTTATATCCAGACCACCAATCTAAAAAATCTGGGTATTTTCTCGCATGCACTTGGTGTCCATCCACTACATCTTCCCAAATATCATACCCAGTCACTAAATCTTAACGCTTTTTCTCTCAAGATGCTTTACAACCTTCCCTGATGTTTAGTGTTACATTAGTTTTAGAGTTTAGACCTAAGTGACATCAACTTTACCAGCCTTCTAACCCAAATTTTCTCTTTTCTAATTTGCCCTGTACTACATGCTAGATTAGTATCCTAAAACTGAGGAACACTGTATTCTCTGCTTCTGGGAAATATTAATTGGTTTCTCAGTCCCTCAGGGTAAATCCTCCTATCTTTCTCCAAGTATTATATTCAGGGTTTTGACTCACTATACTGTTCAGGATTAGGTTCAGCTGAAAGTGACAGATAAACCAAAATAAAAGTAGCTCAAATGAAACAGATGTGAAAGTTCAGAGAGCCAGGGTAGGTTTGACACTCCACAAGTAGCAAAGACCCTTGCTCCTTATATTTTATTATTCCTCCACATGTGGCCTATATTTACAAATTCATTTCATGGTTCAAGATGGTTCTCCAATTCTGTCTTAATTCCAGTCAGCAAGAAGAAGAAATGGGCTTGCCTCATTTAAGGAAACCTCTTGGATGTTGCAACCACCACTGCAGTTCACACCTTTTGGTCAAAACTTACTGTAGAGGTCAAATGTAGCTTTATTTTGATGACCATGTGCTATGGTTTGAATGTTTTTGCACCCTCCAAAAATCATGTTGAAACTTAATCCCCAATGTTTCCAGGTGTGGCCTTTGAAAGGAGAGTGAGTCATGAGGGAGTCACCCTCACGAATGGGATTTGGTGCCCTTATAAGAGGGCTTGATGGCGGGAGTTCATCCTGTTTTGGCCTTCTGTACCTTCCACCATGTGAGAACACAGCATCAGGGAGCCATTTTGGAAGCAGAGAGCGGCCCTCACCAGATAGCCTCACCTGTCAGTGCCTTGATCTTGGACCTCCCAGCCTCTAGAACTGTGAGAAATAAATTTATTTTATTTGTAAACTATCCAGTCTTAGGTATTTTATTATAGCAGCACATAACAAACCAAGGTACCATGTGTCCCCCCAAAAATCAGAAGTTCTGTGACTTAGGGAGATGGGAAAATGGATGTGGGGTTATAACCAGGAATCTCTGTCATACCCACCTTCTAACTGCCACTTCTTACACCAATCTGCCATTCCAGTCAAACTCTCTCCTTAGTCCATTTGAACACAAACTCTTTAAAACACTTTAATTCACAGTTGTCTGTCCTTTAAACTAGAGGTATTGCTGATTTGGCAGCCAGTCTGATACTTATTTTCTAACAGACTTATGAATGTGGTCTTGATGATTAAGGCATTTTTTTGAATATTCCTCCTTGTCTAATCTTCTCAGCTAAATCAAGGGAAGGCCCTAAGCCCTATATATCTCGTCTCCCAACTGCTATTGCTTGACCTAATGCCTGGCAAGTAGGACGACTTGATGACTATGCTCTATTTTACCTAACGGGCTGACGGCACCAATATAGTGCTATCATACATTATCACGTATCTGTGGCTGCGCATCATGTGTTATGATGTATGGTATTGCCTCCCATCTCAGTTGCATATATAGAGACAAAAGAAGACAATTAATAAAAATGTGTTAAATGTCTTCAACAATCTTCTTCTTGTCATTATGTTAGAGACATGTAGTAGGGACATTACTGTATTTATAATTTATAATTTAGCTGTAGTGACAGAATTACAAAATACTAACACAGTCATCACTCTGTATTGATGGGGGATTGGTTCTAGGACTGCTCCCCCCACCCCCCCATGGATACCCAAATCCATGATGCTCAAGTCCTTTATATGAAATGGTGTAGTAGTATTTGCATATAAACTATGCACATCCTCCCATACCTAATACAATGTAGAGGCTATATAAATAGTTGTTACATTGTATTGTTTAGGGAATGACAAAAAAAGGTCTGTACATGCACATGTTCAGTACAGATGCAGCCATCTTTTTATTTTATTTTAGAATAATTTTGATCCTTGGTTGGTTGAATCCACAAATGTGGAACCCACGGATACAGAGGGGAAGGGCCAACTGGATAAGCAACCGAAATCTCATTAGGGAACACAATTTCAATGCATGGATGCTTTTCCTCTACCCCCAAAACCCTAAAGATCAATATCCATATCAATAATAGACAAATGAAAGGGTAATATGAGAAGAAAAGAATCTTCATTTTTGATGTTAAAATAGTAAATTTTCAAAAATTCTGAGGACTCAAGTATGGAAAAAATAAGTTAGTGGTATATTAAAAGAGATCCCATGATCTTTGTTTTTCCTGAAATGGCAGTAGATTTGGGTTGAGTAGATTCTGTTGATCTTTGTAACCTACTCCCTGCATTTGTGAACTCCTAAAATCATTCTCTTAATCACTATTCAGTGAGGTAACAGTAAATTCCTTTTGTTGGGCTTCATAGCAAAGAGCTCATAGAGTATTATCTCAACCAGAGAAGGTGTTGATGTTGGTTTGTTATATACCGCAAAGCCTCACTGCAGCCAGGGTTCACTATTACTACATCAGGGTTGACAGCATTTTATCCTCGTATCATCAATGGGGGAACTGATGAACTCTCGTTGTTAATGATATCTTAAGAATTCCTTAGTTCCGAGAAGACATAGTAAAGCTAGTGTCCAAATTGTTGGGAATCTCTTCTCCAGAATTTATCTCCCAGAAATTAGGGAGGTCCTCCAATTTGATAAAATCTTTCAAATTGAAACCCAATCTAAAGTACTTTAGAGCATGTTTCAAAATTGTCTTCACGTTGGAACTACTCAATTATATTTAAGGTGTAATACACTAAAACACTATAAATATGAGGGATTTAAAACACTACTGTCCCCAAGCAGCGGGAGGTGTACACAGGTGTTACTAATCTATTAGCTGGAAGACTAAGTGGCTGACATTATGATAGTACTGTGTGTACAGTACTATTTTTTAAGCCCACCATTTGCAATTGATTACACGGACCATCTGTAACCGCCTGTGAATCATATTGGAGTTAGCCCATTGACATTTAGCGAACATTTGTCATGTAGCAAAGTGTTTGGTGTAGAAAAGTTGACACATAATAGCTTTGAGGTTTCACTAAATCAACTTCAGACAGCAGATTACAGGTACAATCCATTGCTGTATAGTCTCCAAAAAATATGGTTTATAATTTGGTTAAAGAAAAGAATACTGCCTCACCCCAAGCTCCCCTGTCTTTGTAGACAAGACAAAAAGGTCTTTTGAGACCACCGAGGTGACTTGACTCCACCGTTAATTGCCCCAGAACTGTTCCCCTGGGGGGTTTCAAAAGTGGCGAGGAAAGCAGAGGTGGAAGACACGGCTGAAAATCAAGTGGGAGCAGCGGGTCGTGATGCGTCGGCGGCTGGGACTTGTCTATAGGGAAGAAACGCGAAATCTCCATCAAGACGGCGGTGCGCGGAGGCATCAGGCAGACCTGGGGCTGTTCTCCCAGGACGCGTTCGCGCCACCTGTCACACGGGACGAGCCGCGGGAGGTAGGAAGGGAGCGGGGAGGAGGGTGGCGGGCCCCGGAAGAAAGCTGCCGGCCGGCAGGTCTTTGCCCCGGAGGCGCCGAGGGCTGGGTGGATGGGTGCGGGAGACCCCGAGGAAGACTTCACGTGGTCTCCGGGACCCCGCTAGGGAACCAGGGGGCGCTAGCGCCCCCCTCCCCTGCCCTTCTCAGCTCCTCCTCCAGACACGTGACGGCGTCCGGCTGGTAGCTCCGCTCCCGCAGCGTCGCTCGCTCTGTTGCTTCCCTCCCGCCGCTGTGCCCTTCTTCTCCCCCTTTCCCATCCCTCCGCCCTCCTCCACCTCCTCCCCACGCCCCAATCGCGGCTTGAGCTTGGAAGTGCCCGCCCCTCCGCCC